CCAGTTCTTCTGGATGGCTTTCAGTAAATCCCCCAATTTATCAATGCAATGGATTTCTGTTTTCTTCTTTGCAACAATGTTTCAAATCTTCTGGTCGAGTACTTTGACTCATTAAAAAAAAAGATATTGATAAAAGGCAGAAAGGGGCTGTTCTAGTTTATTAAACAAGAAAAACTATTTAACAGGAAATGGCATCTCCAGTTGTCGGGTAGAACAGGGATGTCTGTCACCTGACTGGCCCAGATAGTAGTCAGAGTTTTTTTTTTAATAATTGAAAATTAAATAATTAAGCAGCTGATTACTATTCCATCAACCTTGAGCTCAAACTGGTCTTTATGCGAGCCATCATCTAAAATAAGTTCGACACACTTGCTCTACGTGCTTTAAAGGACTCACATCTTGTTGGAACTGTGCGAAGGTCTTGCGGACTCCATCTTGTAGGAAAGCCACGGCCTCTCTGTCGGGCCAGCGCTCCACCGACCTCTGCAGGCTCTCTGCTACCGTCATGTGGAGCAGCGAAGTGGAAGACGTGCCATGGACATAGCTGGTGGTGAGAGTCGGGATGATGGGCGGACCGTCCACATGGAGGCCGCTGTGAAGCAAAGAGTAAGATTTTCAGACACTGGAAGCTTTGCAAGAAAATTTAGAGGACATGATAAGATGGGGCCTGATCATTCGAAACCTTGTATGTGAGCAGCAGGATTTGAATTCAATTATGGATTTAACAGGGAGCCAATAAAGAGAAGCCAGTATAGGAAAGAAATGGTCTCTCTTTCTGGTCCCGGTCAATACTCTCACTGCAGCATTTTGGATCAACTGATGGCTTCCATTGAGGACATACCCTGGTCAAAAATGACTCCAAGGTTCCTCACAGTGTTACTGCAGGCCTGAGTAACATCATCCAGAGTAAACAGCTGGCTCGATACCATATTTCTAAGATTTTTTAGAGCAAAGTACAATAACCTCAGTTTTATCTGAATTTGGAAGCAGAAAGTTAAAGACAAAGACCTGGATGACCTCTAAGACTAATTGGTCTCCATCATCAGATTTATTAATTCTTCTTCTGGATTTTTCCTTGATTATTATCTACATGCATTAATAAAAACCAAAAGCCAACTGACCCATGAAATGAGTTAGACATTTAATCTTCTTAGGTCTCATCTGGCATTATTAGCTCGGACGCTTAGAAACACTTTAAACCTACAACTAAGGATAAGGATAAGCTTTATTTGTCAGTTGCCTGCAGCTGAAATGACAGACCTAGTCGACCATACAGACGATACATACAATATAAAAACTTACATTGGGGAGACAGGTCAGGCTAGGCAGCAAAAAAAAAAGGGGAAAAAAAGGGATAGACGGTGAAATATGTAGCATAGGGGCAAACTACAGCAGGAAGTTCAAGTGTCTGTGTACAGTTTTTAGTCTGGAACAAGCAGAAACCTGCAGGGCTGAAAAATAAAACCAATGCTGAAATACTTAAAGCCACAACTCCTCTAGTCCCAACAGAGACCCAGTGTTAAAATGTACAACTTTACAGCAGAAATACACGTTTTGTGCTGAGTAATTGCATTTGAGAGCATGAGGGTGGGAATGGATGTCTGCATCTGTGTGTGCCCCTGTTTGTTTGTGTCTATATGTCTAGGGACATCTCAGGCCCTCCAAGGTATGAAGGCCCATTTACGGGTAAAGTAAACATGTTGGACATCTTTCTTTGCCTTTAGACAATAATTCTGATGACAGAAGAACCAAACGGTTTTAAGCACACTACAAGAGCCATTATGGCCTCCATGGATGCCCCCCTCCCCTTCCTTGTGAAAACCATACACTCAACAGGTTTAAAGAGATGTCACTGAGCTCGACTTCCTGACCATGTATGAGCCGATGGTCCCTTTCGAGTATTTAAATGACAAAGAATAAGATTTCTTGTGCCACACCGAGTGTCCAAGAAGTTTTTGCTGTGTTGAATGAAATTCTGGTCAGTTATTTGTCTGTTGCTTACCACTGGTTAGCAGATCTCTCCTTATTACCCTCTTTACCAGAGTCACAAAATGAGTTCAGTCAGTGATCTGAAAACTAAGTAACAGTTTGTGTGTCTCACCAGTCCCCACAGAGCCCTGCATGCTGATTACATGTTAGTTAACCTCGGGGTTGTTAAATCCCAGTTCAACCAATTAAAAATTAAAAAAAAAAAAAGTGTACAGAGACAGAGAAGGGGGGAAAAAAACTAAAAAGACTAAAGGTCAACAAACAAATCCACACTGGTCTGGGGCCCAGAGCTCCAGTATTCTCCCCGAAAAAACCAAACACTATTAGGAATAAACACAAGACTGAAATCAAACGGTTAAACATGCAAAGTAATTAATTGCCTGCTTTTATACAAATAAAGGTGCATGTTCTTTGTGAAACTTTTAATGATTGACCGAGGAACCAGAGCAGGATTTATAACACTTGTAAAATGTGTGTAAAAAACAAACTGCCTGAAATCTTACAGCTGTGTTTTAAACGCCTCTTGATTCAACAACGTAAACCTTCATCTTTTCTGTTTCTGATTTACTGGCACTAGATTACTGTAAACTAGCTGACACACAGAGAACCTTTCGGGGGCCTCGCATCCTGGAGAGCTCCAGAGCAGCTGTTTTTGTCAGCTTTAGGAAACTTGAAGGATTTTCCCCCTTTTTTTGTACCGATTTGATTCAGACTGTAGATCAGGGATGGGGGAACTCCAGGCCTCAAGGGCCGGTGTCCTGCAGGTTTTAGATGTGTCCTTTATCCAACACAGCTGATTTAAATGGCTAAATGACCTTCCTTAACATGTCTTGAAGTTCTCCAGAGGCCTGGTAATGAATGAATCACTTGAATCAGGTGTGTGTAAGATCTAAAACCTACAGGACACCAGCCCTGGAGGCCTGAAGTTCCCCATCCCTGCTCTAGACCTTTGACCTCCCTGGCTGCCTTTGCACACTGTGTTTGCTTACAAGTGCTTAAATGAAGGCACGATACCAAAAGACAAAATTTACTGTCAAGCAGAGATGGAACAAGCTCAGGCAGAAGAATAAAAAACAACCTAAATGAGTGCCAAAGCATGCAGTTAGTGTGGCGAGTTTTTACTGACAGAGTGACGGGATCGATCGGTCTGAAGCATCGTAAGACAATAAGATTGGAGTTTTGTTTTGGTTTTTGCACCCCTTATATCTATATATTGTATTTTTCACTTCTGGTTTATGTTAAATATTAAACAATTTCACATGAAAATCTTATTTGTCAAATCATTTGAAGAGTTTGGAGGGACAGGGTAAAACTGGTGAAAGATTGACTGAAATGTGGCCTCAAATAACAAAGCTGAATGTGTCACAACCCAAAAAGTTACAGATCTGCTAGTTTTACATCATGTTTTTCATGGATTTAATCAATTCTGGATGTAACATAACAGCTAACTGTACAAGTTAAGCAGAGCCGGACAGTAGAAGGTACATTTCTCTTCATAAACTTGCTTATGTCTAAACCTCTGCATCCTTTTAACTTATCTGTTACTCTTATAATTGTGTATATTGTGTATTTGTTGTACAGTGTCCTTGGGTGCTCTGAAAGGCGCTATTTTTAAATAAAATGTATTATTATTATTATTATTATTACAATCACAACAACGCAGGTTTGGTTTTGTTTTATTTAAAAACTGCCTTTGACTTGATTTTTATGAATCTACTGCATTACATACTTTCTGACTGCATGCAGAGATGAAGGAAGGAAGGTTCAGGGCTGCTGAGCATGGGTGAAAATTCCCAAAGATAAAGAAAAGAACTTTCTGCACACTGATTAAATCAATGTTTACTGTGTCTGTTCAAAGTATCACATCGATACAAGAGGTGGACACAGTGATCTGCATCTCTACACAATGGAAATAATGTTGATATCCGTGATTGTGAAAACAGATTTTCTTCAGTTTCTTTGATCTCCCTGACGTGCTGCACCACCGAGCCACAGGAAAACTTTCCTGCCTGTTGATCTCTCCACACAACTCCTCCATCTAAAACAACAACAACACACACACTGCAATAATGCACACTTTGCTATGGGTTGTATTATCGCCGTTTCCAAAATCCTGGAGCGACTGTGACCACAGAATTTCCTCAGGGATTTGTGAAGTTTTCTGATTTCCTTCTGATTTTAACAGTTTTAGCTGCAAAGTCTGCGCACAAAATAGCCGAGCTTGAGACAGCGCAACGCTAGACCCGAGACCACTAATCCTGGGGGTGAGTTCTGCAGACGGAAACAAAACTTTCAAGTCGATACAAACGGATGTTTCTTGGTAGAAAAGACGGTCATTTAACATACCACCGAGCGCATTAGTTTTTCTGCGGTTGATGCTATTTTGAGGAGCGTTTACTCATTTCCAATTCCAAGACCCTTTGCTTTAAAGCGAAAGCGCTTTCTCTTATTTTACCTTCCACGGCTCACTCACCGAGTGGATGCAGTTAGTCCTGGCTGGCGTGTCCATGGCCTCTGAAAAAGCTTTAAACCTCTGAAAAAAGCGCAATTGCGCATAGTTGGAGTGCAGAAGGCAACGGTGGGGATCATTGTGTGCAGCTGGCCGCGTCCGGGACACAAAGCTTGAGCTGAGTTTTTTCGTCTCCAGCAGAGAACTGAGCGGCAGGCTGTTAACTCCTCTTCTGATAAGGCTCAACCCGCTTACACTCTCTCACTCGGACGTTGAACCCCTGCAGAATTAGGTGGATCGATCCGAATATTGACAGTGTCATAGTGTAACAGGGTCATAAATCACATCTTGTTATAATTACACCGGTTACAATAGCAACTCTATTATTGGTGTTGGAAGTTAAACATGTAGCCCATTAAATTGTGTTACATAGTATGAACTAGTGTTAATGTTTTCTACACAGAGGAACTATTCAAAGCTTTAGAATTTTTTTTTGAAGACCTAAGATTTTTTCGGCGTTTACAAATACCGAGAACCAGGAGGGGTTCTCGGCATTTGTAAACGCCGAAAAAATGATAAAGGAGGGGTTCGGCAAAACAGGAAACGTGAAAGTCTTCCCATGAACATAAAAACAAGAAAGCAGATGTAAAAGCCTGCCAAGAACATGCGGAAGTGAAGCCAAAATGGGCTTATCTGCACAAGAATAGAAACATATTTGCAAGTCAAAAATGTGGAAATATCCTTTCATAGCCCTGGAGAGAATTTGGATGAAAACACTTGTTGTTTTTAAATTAATCTGTTTATTTTATACTTGTTTTTCAGTGTTTGAACCTCGTTCTGTTCAGCCAGGTTTTTTGGTATCTTATTCCACTTATTTGGTCTCTACAGCTTTGTTTTCTTTCCATCTTCCAGTAAAAGTTTGCAGGCAAAAATCAGCTTGTCAGTGATCATCCATGGATAGAAAAAGAGGGAGCAGCAGGAGGAGATATTAACATTTAAGTGGACTCCTGCCATAACAGTCCCAGGGATTTGTGTCTCCTCTGCACTGTGGAGCTCGTAAGGAACAAAATCCAGTTTTTGATTTATATAAAAACACATCCTCTAAGTTACCCTTCAGTATACATGAGGTTTCAACATTAAATGAAGCTGACCTCCAATGAGGAAGTCTTAATAAGGAAGAGAAACGACCGAAGTAAAAAACTGGAACGGATCAGGACTCAAAGATTTCCATCAATTTTTCTTCAAAAGCAATTTTAATAAGTATAGTTTAAAAAAGTACATCAGTGAACAAAATCCACTAAAAATAATATTTCTGGAGTTTCAGGAAAAGACACCATGATTCACGGTGGAAACCACAGGTGATGATAACTCTGACAGGAGGAGTGACGAATGTCAGTGACAAAGTCTCACCTTAACAGGAGCTTCTGTTAGAGCGAGGGCTTCTTTAAGGAGTTTAACACGTGATTCACAGCAAAGCTTTAACACATGGAGCACAAAAGGCAGTGAGAAAAACAGTCCTTGACATTCAGAGCACACCAACACTGAAGCCCTCCATCATTTTAAAGCAAATAAAGAGACAACAGAATCAGAAAACACTTCATTTTAGAGGACGACCTCTAAATCTGAGTCACTTTATGTCATGACCGTTCTGCTGCCATGTGGAGTATTCATATTTATTTGCATTGTTTACTGGCAGGAAACCCCACATTTTTCCTCTAATACTGCCAATAAATTGCATATATGAACTATACTCTCAAAATGTAGTTACCCATGGTAGCTAAAGGTCATGATTATAATATTCTCTCCACTTCAAACGTTTCCTCCCAGATAAATAAACGAGGATGGACGAGTTGAGCTCCTCTGACCGACCAAACATTGCAGTAACACTTCTGCCGTTTGAAGTTTTCTGATGATGAACAGTTCATTTCTCATGATACAAACAGGTAAACAACATCACTTCTTCTTTGTCTAGAAACGAAAGTATTTGTGCGACGAAAGCACGAGCGGGTCATTGGCTGTCCTGAGAGAACAGCTCCTCCTTCAGACGATAGTAACGCCCTTTTTTGGCCATCAGCTCACTGTGCGTCCCCTCCTCTACGACCTCGCCGTTCTCCAAGAAGATGATGTGATCGGCCTGCTCCACAGTCTTCAGCTGATGAGCCACGACCAGCACCGTCCGGCCACGAGCAAAAATCTCCTTCAGCACCTGAACACAGAAATATGAGGCCACTTCACAAACACAATTCTTTTGTGGACCTCTTCCCCTCTTTGGCTGGAGGTAGTGGTTGTGTTTATTATCAGTTTATCAGCTAAATACTTTCTGGATTAACTGGTTAGTCTTAAAAAAAAATCAACTTTACAATAATACTAAACTCATAAAACCCTAAAAATTCCAAAAAGCTTTAGGTTTCCCTTCGACCTGCCTCTGATTCAGGTGTGCAGAGATATCTTTGGGCTATTGTTTTCCATGTCAAGACTGGGGGTGTTGCTGCTTTAAGCTTCTGTATTATTTCTATTCTAATTTATAGTTACAAGTTTAGCCCCTTCATCTGATTGGTTGCCACTCATAAACAGATGGGTGGGGCTTCTGCACTCACAGCCAGAGCTATGTTCATTCAAGTTCCAGCAACAGGCCCATAAAATTAGAAAACTGTCTTATAGTGTATTGAGTTCCTGTTTCTCTTTATTCTTTATTTTTCTTTTTCAAGTTGCTTCCGTACGTTTTTTGGACGTTAACTACTCCCTCAGTTTTCAGCCAATTTTCTCCGTTCAAACTTTAAAAAATTCTGCTCTTTCTGGCTATGACTTTTGGTGCTCATAACTTCTATACTTTTTGAGATATTGAATTTTTTTTGCAATATTTTTTGCCCATTTCTGCCATATTATCAGTGGCCTCACTGATTTTCCTTGCCGGGTTGACCTGTGTTTTAGCTCAGTGAGTTGAGCATCCATTCTCAGACTGGGAGGCCCGGGTTCAAGTCCCGCTTATGGCAAAACTTCTTTCAGTTAACAGTTAAACTTTTTTTTAACTCTTTTCAGCACAATTTTCAGTTTTTTCACCACTTTTCAGCACAAATACCAGCTTTTTCAGCTGTTTTCAGCAAAAACCTCTTTTTAACAGAATTCTGCTCATTCACCTCTTTTCAGCAGAAATTCTGCTGACTGAACTCTTTTCAGCAAAATTTTCAGTTTTTTCTGCTGTTTTCAGAAAAAACTCTTTTGAGCAGAATTTCTGCTGATTGAACTCTTTTCAGTGCAACGTTTTGCTTCTTTACCTCTTTTCAGCAGAAATTCTGCTGATTCACCTCTTTTCTGCAAAATTTTCAGCCTTTTCACCTCTTATTATCACAAATCTCAGCTGTTTTCAGAAAAAACCTCTTTTGAGCAGAAATTCTGCTGATTGAAATCTTTGCAGAAGAAATTCTGCTGATTGAACTCTTTTCAGCAAAATATTCAGAGTTTTCACCTCTTTTCTGCCCAAATTCTGCTTATTCACCTCTTCTGAAACATTTTCAGCCTTTCCACCTCTTATCAGCACAATTCTCAGCAGCTTCTGCTCATTTCAGTACAATTGTCAGTCTCTCCACCTCTTCTTTGTGAGAATGACTTTGGCTCAGTGAGCTAAATAGCAGCCCTTAGACCAGGAGGGCCAGGTTCAAATCCTGCTCAGGGCAGGGTTTTTTTTCTCAACTTTTTCAGCTTTTTTCGGCATACATCTTCAGCGTTAAGGCATCCACACAGCATTTTCGCAGGAAATGCAAATTTTTCTAGTTTTAAATGTGGCTCACTCATCGAGAAGATGAGCGAGCCACAGGTCAGGAGAGATGCTTTGAGCACAGCCCTGAGTTTATGTTTAGATCACTTCCTGTAACCCCTATTTTGACCACGTGCACTATGAGCTCTGTCATTTCTTAACAAACCTCACACCTACAGAGCAAACACCAACTGATACGACTCTGGAGTGAAGGACGCGAGCTGACAAGTTTCCAAACCTGAAGGCGGTGGATCGGGTGATGAGCGGGACCAGGGTGAGACTGTCCTGAGTCATCTGGGGTGAACATACTCACATCAGGTGTGGGCCACTGTGTGGATTAATGGATTTGCAACCCCGTGACTTTGTCCCCTTCCAAAACAAAATAACTTTGAAGGATCTGCATTTTGACACATACTAGAGGTACAAGTTCAGGTGCACTTCATCAAAGAGATTAAAAATCATGATGGAAGCGGTCCAGACTCGCCTGAGAGGAACAGGAGACCAGCCAAATCTAAATCAGGAGAGGTTTGCTTTTTCTTTTTGTGTTATTGGCCCACTGCCCAAACTTTCTCATCGCCAGATGTGTAAGAGCAGCTGCTTGACTCACACCCACACACAGAGAAAACCCATTCACGCTTCTTGCATGCAGGATTTCCTTGTTTGGTCACCGTGAGGAAAGCTGAGGGTCGTATGGAAGTTTCTGAGCTTTATTTTTATGTACGTACTGAATGCTGCGCCTCGACATCCAGTTTACTGGTTGCTTCATCCAGAATGATGACCTGCGGGTCTCGAACCAGAGCTCTGATCACGGCGATGCACTGCTTCTGTCCTCCTGCAAGACGACCCCCACCTTCTCCTACATCTGAGAGGACAAATAACACAGACCAAGGTTAGAGTGGAAAACATGCACCTGCTTCAGGTTTTTCCATCACAACTTTACAGTTAATCATTACTGAAACATAGCTCGTGGTTTACCTGGCTACCAGCTTCCAGCTGGATATTTTACAACTGTAAAATCTGACTTTCCTTACTTCACATCTGTCAGAAAAAGTTAATATTAACTTTCATAAACCTATCTGCAGCTCACCATGATCTATTTTAAACATGTGCCTCTGTACTTGATTATTTTGTCAACTGACTTGAGCATTTTCTCCTTGTTAGATCACCTCTGTAGCTATCATATATTTTTATTTCCTGATGTAATGAAAAGAAAAAACACCCACAAGGGGCTTATAAGAGAAATATCTCACTGCAATATGCAGTATGAGTAGATAGAGAAGTAATGTAAAGAAAGGCAATCAAGCAAAAGTAAACAACATGAATCAGAATTTTTCCATGTTGTAGGTATGTACTCATTAATAACACTCTTCAAATTTCAGTGATTATTTTCACCGCTGTGGGCAAAGTTAATATGCAGAAGCGTGCTGGTCTTTCAGGGGTGGGATTTCGTTTTCCCAAGGGGTCACATGATAAACTGGGACTGCTGTGGACCAATAAGCTGAACTCAGTTCGTCTCAATGTTAATTTTATCTCTTTAAAAGCTACTGTTATTACTTTTCTGCTCTACTCCACATTCCTGGAAACTGAGGACATTTCTCTTCAAAATAAAAGTTGTGCATTAATGACACATTTCAAAAGGAGCAACAGACAATTATGTCATATAGAAAAGGCAAGCAACCTGCTCGAGGTTCACAGTGCCAGCGGTTACCAGGGGCTCACTGACAGCTCTTTAGGCTTTTGATTAGCTTTAGCAACAACTCAGAACTGGTCAGGTAATGCTCATTTTTCCACTGTAACCAGTGGTTGGCAGGCAGTTGCCAAGTGGTCTCTAGACCCGTGTGATTGAGGTGAGGCACAATACCACAGATGGCTCTGTACCTGTGTTGTACTCGTTCTCCATTTCAGAGATGAAGTCGTGTGCGTTGACATTATTTGCAGTTTCTTTCACCTTCTCGATGCCGCAATCCTGCAGGCCGTATTCAATGTTGTATCTCAGGGAACCAGAGAACAGCACGGGATTCTGGGAAACCAGGGTTACCTGGACGAAGAAAGGATTAATGTGGTTTCACCATTTAAACAATTAAAGCAAATAAGCTGACGCGTCTCACAAGAACAAAACCTGAGAGTCAAAGTTTTGTTGGGGTACATGTGGAAACAAGGAGGTTCACTGTCCACGTGCTATTTTAAGATCTAGACCTACTAGTAAATCAAATACACTTACACCCTCGTCCCCAGAACTGGTCCAGCAGCTCCAGTCAAACAAAAATCTTCCAGCCTCAAAACTCTGAAGAGTGTTTGAGCTGAAGTCAAGACTAGACACGGCAGCTTTCCAAGCAAGAAAAGCCTTTACAGAAACCCTCTGACGACCTCTTTGTGTCATTCATTTGAGGAACCGAGGTCTGTGACTTGAAGCTGATGTTAGATTAGACCCACTGTTTTAAACATTAACTGCATCTATATCTAACATACGATTGCATGTTTGCATCAATTAAAGACACATTAAGTACTGAGATCATATGTACCAGGAGCATCCCTACATTATTTGATTTAGTACAATGGTTTAAACCGGCTGAGCCGTCTGTACCTTTTGATGGAAATATTTGTGTTTGTAAAGGTGGAGCGGCTTTCCATCCAGCAGGATCTCACCCTCCTGGGGCTCATACAGCCTCTTCAGGAGGCTGACACAGGTGGTCTTTCCACTGCCGGAGGGACCCACCAACGCCGTCATCTTCCCTGGCTGCAGCTCCATCGACACTGACTGGAGAGAAGACGTCAGTGCAGCATTTATAAATCTGTCCACCTCTCACAAATTAATGATTAACACCATTCCAACAGTGACACTGTAGGACGAACACAACCATCACTGTAACACTAGGAAACTGTTACCTTCAGGGCAAGTTTCTCTTGATATTTGAAGGTGACGTTTTGGAAAACAATTCTTCCCTGCAGATTGTCAGGAGCTAAATCTCCCTCCTCCTTACACTTGGGTGTCCTGTCCAGGTAGCTGAACACTTTGGAAATCACTCCAACTGTGGCCACCGTTTCACCATAGCAGTACAAAATCTCCTGCGACATAAATAACCCCTTGAGTATCAAAAACAGGCACTACATGTTAATAAATATCCAGAATGATTCGGCTTACCTTTAAATTGACTGACATGGGCTTCTGATACAAGAAGAAGGACACAAGACTGCCGATGCTGAGCTTTCCGGACGAGATGAGAGTGCGGGCCTGGAACAGCATCAGTATCTTTATCCCCAGAGACACCAGCTAAATAAAAAGAGTTTGGAGAGGAGGGTTACTTGCGAAGGAGCTAAAAAACAAACAAAGCAGGATCCATTATCATGTCAGCACATATTAAATACTGGGGAAATACTAAAATGCTTTAAGAAACCAGGGTACCGTTTCTTCTTGGTGCTTAAATATTAGCACATATGCAGTTAGAGCTGAGAATGAAACATGTTCCCTTGCTTGTAACATGACTGTCGCCTTACCCTCCGCACTAGGAGAAAGACTGAACTGTAGATTCCTGAACGTCTCTTGACTACGCGCATCTGCTTCAGAGCCTCCTGATATCTCCTGATTTCGTCTTTCTCGGCCTTGAAGCTGCGGACGGTTTGAATCCCGCTGACCGTCTGGGAAGCCAGGTCTGCATTCTGAGCTTGGCAGTCCTGAATCTGCTCTTTCAGCTCCTGTCAGACAACAAATCAGGATCAACAAATAAAGTCTTCATGACTCCCACTTTTAATATCCTTGATTCTTTCCAGCTGCAAACAAACATTTTTCTTCCTGTCATCAAAAAAAGATAAAGAAAAGTCTGGCTGTTTCTTCTTCCTTTTGCACCTACCTTATACAAGGTGCTGTATTTGTTTTGCACTACAGCTAAGAGTGGCATCTCTATGCAGGTGAGCACAGTGAGCTCCCAGGACAGGCGTAACATCACTACCAACATGAGGAAGGTTTTTACTGTGCTGCGAACCACGGCGTTAGCATTCAGCGCTACCGTGCGGCCCATCCTGTCCACGTCAGAGTGCAGGCGGGAGGAAAGACGACCTGGATGGTGAAACAGAGAAAAGGACAGAGTTCAGTAAGCGCTTAAATCTGCACAGCTTCAATGTTTGTTTTAGATTATGAGGCTTTTTAGACACTAGTTTGTCGGGCCAATTGCATTTTAAGTTGACGCTCCATTTACCGAGGGTTAAATCAGCGTTAATATTTTCATTAGGGGAACCTTTGGCATTGTTGACCCTGCAAATTCATGCAGTCCCTAAATATCTTAATAGACATGTCGTGCTCCTCTCACCGGGGTTGTTATCATCAAAGAACTGCACTTCCTGCTTCAGGAGGGTGTGAAACAGCAAATGCTTCAGCCTCTTGTTCAGTCTGGCCAAGGTGCACATAAATATACCACCTCTCATGCCAGAGAAGAGCGCGCTGTTAAGATGGAAAGACAAAAAAATCAGAGAGATGCCAAGTAAATAAATGTTCTTCCTACAAATATCTGAGAGACAAAGAAATGGTGGGAACAGTTTTGGTTCATCACCTTCCGAGAGAAATGAGAACCAGCTCTCCAAGCGCATAACCGAAGCCAGCTTCAAGTACTTTACCACTCAGCATATCAATGACCTTCCCCTGATACAACGGGATAAACGTATCACCTGTGAGGAAAGATGAATGACAGGTACAAAGGTAAACAGGGACAAAGTCAACAAATTTATTAAAAACTTATTTCGAAAGCAGTATTAAACCGTAGTGAGTATTTAAGGACATGTAGTGTGTGGTGGAAATCACATTTGTTACTGACTAGGTTACGAGTGCTGATGATAGACTGTATATAAAAGACAGACTGTGCATTTTTAAGCCAGACCCCTCTTTGTAGGGGTTTCTTAGCAGAAGTGACAAATGTTGGATGAGCAGGTGGAGTCAGTGTACAGGTGCCGGGACATGCTGCAGGCACGAAAAGTGCTGTCATGGTGAAATCATCTTGCCCAGCCTATTTTTTTAAAATGCCAAAACCTGCACGTGGACCTTATAAAACATGCTAATGTTGACATAACTCGTCTCTCGTATTGATTTGCCCTTTTGTGGACATAAACGAATGGTTCAAATCTGTGCTGGTCTTTGGAACAAATATTCCAACGTGGCTAATTCTGCCATCCCAGCACACAGACTCAGCAGCAGGAATCGATGGTTTTACTCTATCAGTGAACAATGATAGGAGAAAATCTGCTCTCACAGTCTAATTTTTACTTATATACTGTGTTTTAGAGAGGATTTGTAGACTCAAAGGTCTCTTCTCTTCCAGCTGATTAGAAAAAAACCTTAAACAGAGTAAAAGAGAAGTTTTGTTTACTTCTCTGAATGAAGTAACATGCAGGACCTTCCAGGTCTAACAGGATTTGGAATCCAGGAAGAAAAAGACAAATACATACATTCAAGGCCTCCTAACCTATAAACAAACTTCTGCAGCTTCTGTTTCCACTCTGATGCACACAGAACAGCAAGTCCGGTCTCTTAGAAATATTTTATGAGGGAGTGCTTGCTAACAAGCTTGCCCTCCACCCTCTGATCCTAACACGGCTACTTCTGCCTGCATGTTTCTGATCCATAAGTCTTACACTGTAATAAACACATGTGCTCTATCTAACACACTATAAAATGGGAATGTTTTATACTTACAGATGACTCCTAAGATGAGGAAACTGAACGCCGCGATCAGGTAGAGAGTGTCTGGTTTGAAATATTTTAATGTCCTCATAAGCAGCCCACTGGTATCCAGTTTGACGCTGTCCGTTTTTGTTTTTCCATTCCCACTGAGGCCCTTTTCCCAAATTAAACAGGCCAGAGATGAGGCCATCGGGCCCAAGAGGAGCATGCTGAGATTGGGAGATGGGCCCGAGTAAGGCTCAGATGGAGATGCTTTAAGGAAGCGTCCACTTTCAAACACGGGAGGAAGAAGGCAAAGGAGCGCCACCAACCTGTGGAGGACAGGCTGGGGCTTTCCATCAGTCAACACAGAGGTGAAAACATGGAGGAAAACCCATTTTACAGCTCCAAAGGCCCACACGCCTTCCAGTCCACCACAGCTGGAGCAGTCGAGCAGCAGCAGCCCGGTCCACATCGATGAACCCAGAACTGCATCGAAAACAAGGACGAAAAATCCCGAGGCTGCCACGTCCGTCATTTTACCCTCGGTTGGCGGTGAAAACGCAGGAGGCTCAATCGGATCCTACAACAGAAAGTATTACAGTCACTCAGAAAAGATATGTTAAAATCTAGATTTACTTTATCAGGAAAACAATTATATTTCCCAAACGTGTGTCTTTTTGTAAAATATTTAACTATTAATCCCAATCATCTCAATGACAGTGGAAACTGCCAGAGGGGGAAAATCAGGCAAACAGGAGTTAAGGTTCAGAGTTAACTATTGCAGGTGTGAGCAGCTCATAGTGGGAAGCTGATTCTTTTGAACTTCACTGTTCTGATTGGTTGATTTGAGTATCTTCTTTTTCTCTCTCCCAGGAAAATAGTTAAATCAGATTGAAAAGCTTCTACTTCAACCAAAAACCGTTCATACAGGAAGCAAACGGCCATTACCTTCAAGGTGAGCGACTAACAAGGAGTGCACAGGAAACCACTGACTGGCATATGACCTGGTAGTAAATACTACATGGAGCCCGGACTGTCCACTAGTGGCCAACCATCATCTGCAAAGCAATGCATGATGAGTTAATTGGTCCCTGTGTAAATGGTCCTTAACATTTTTCCTTCCACAAGAAGATGAAAATAGAAACGTAAACACTAAATAGACATTTTCTTTATTAATTTCTATCTGGTTTAGTTTAGTTTCATTTAGTTTCTAGTGTTTGCTTAATTTGTTTCATCTTCTTATTTACATTTTTTTAATTAATTATTGTAGTATGAAGGGTATTTGTCAGCACTGAAGCTGTTACAGTTAACTAAAACAAACTAAAAAATTGCAACTAGTAGTGAAAAAAAACCCATTTTAGTTAGTGGAATAAAAATACTAACTAGAATTTGGAAAACGAGAACTTTATGCATTTAAAAATGTAAATGTGATCACATTTCCAACAAGCAGCAGAAAGTTGGTGTGCAACTAGCTCATGTGCATGAGATGTTTACATGATATTTAGTGTTTCTAGCTCCTCTACAGTCTTTAGTACTCAGACCCTGCCAGTTATCAACTGCCTCCTCTGCTACTTCGATACAAGTGGCTGATGAGGACATATCTAATCTGTTAATCTTCATCACAAACATTTAAATAAAAAAGGAACCATTCTCCGCAAATGAAGTTTCCTATCAGTGGTCATGCATCGGTCTGTAAAGCCTGACACACACACAGAAGCTGGAAACTAGATCTCATAGGTGTACGTTTAAATTCACATCTCTCCATGTAATTCTGTTTTAAGATATTCTATCTCATTGGTACATAATTTGCGCAAGTTTAATGTGTGTATGTATGACTGTGTGTGTGCCTGAATTACTTTTGGTTAATTTAGGACCTTTTGCTACTGTGGCCCAACATTCATTTAAGTGGTTTTATAAGAACATAAATATCGATAGAAAATATCAGAGAAAATAAAAAGTAAAACTGAACTGAAACTAAACCTTTCCTATTCCAAAATGGAAGGATCAAATCTGGCAACAAAGTGAAACTAGCGTAAACTGAAACTAAAAATTTTAAATTAATAAAAAGGTAAAGTAATATGAAATTTTATACTGTAATAACACTAGTCAGGAGCCTAATTTTTCATGACTTCAGAGGAGAGATTACAGTACAAACACAGCGCTTTGTGAAGCATTTGGCTCACGATCATGAGGTCATCCTCAAGCCTCAAACATCTGGACCAAAACCTCACCTGAGACGGTGTAACAACAAACTGGACCAAACTATAAAAGGCTAAAAATAACCACATTTCCTCTCTATTTGTTATACTTTGTGTCGTTTTTTTGTTTCAGTTTTTGTTTATTTACACCCACTCTCGCAGTATTAGGGTTACTCTCAACAAATATATCCTTAATCACTGAATAAAATATGCAAAAAAGTAAAAATATAGGTCCTGCATTTTTAATTTAATCTACTCTTAAGTACCACAGAGACACATTTTGTGACTCCGGGGATAAAACGGTGCTGTTTTTCAAACTGTCTACATCACACTTATGGAAAATATGAGCGAAACGTTAACACTAATATCTGTTATAGTTATATTAACAAAGCCTTACAGCTATTTAATGCAACTGGAGCATAAAATATATCTGCAGCTGCTGGTTCTCATTGTAGCTTTCTTGAGATGGTAACTTCAGTAATAGGCCGTTTAGGTTACCTGCTCTCCTACCTGCCGTTTCACATTTACCTGTGTATACACCTGTGACGCATTAAAATGTATTTAAAATTGAGTTAATCGGGATTCATTTAGATTACCTACCGTATATCTTTCTCCTCCACAGAGCACAGCTAGCTTAAGTGTCTGCAGCACCCGCTTCACTTTTACTTTCACTTTCATTTAGCTGACACCTGCGCGGCTCAGACCACGTTAAAAAAAAGAGCGACATTACACAAAATATCAAACTCTGTCCTCATGTCTGTTCAACTATCGTTTTTGTACCACGAATGAACATTTGTGGGACAGCTGTGGAAAGTTTTACACTAAGAAAACGGCTCATTTCACACATTGGCCACAAGATGGCGGCAGTTTGCGTCGTTGTTTATGTTGCTGGAAACGACTTCCTCCCTTTCACAATAAAGGCACGGCGGTTTGTTTAATTGTCTGTGTAGGAAAGATTTACACCCTTTTGACAGTGTGACACTAATTTTGGCAAAAACTCTTAAAAAAATGTTTTTACATGAAAGTTAGGTTTTATATATTTCATATGACAGTTTACTGGTGAAAATTCCCATTTTTGCATTTTCTAAAAATAGTATAATACAGAAAAGCATAATAATAACATTACACATGATTCTTGTAGCATAACAGGGGACACTTGGATGTCATTTTCTTATCATATTGCCTGGCCTTTACAGCACAAGTCAGATCCCAGTTTTTTATATTAATTTAGACAGACAGACAGACAGACACCAGTGCAATTTTACCAGCATCAGCAGAGACCGATCAACCATTTTTTAACAGTTGATCATAAAATGTTGACACCAAACTTTTTGACCATGAAATTATTTTTTTTTTGGAATTTATTAATTCTTATAAGAAAATATAAAATCAGTGTCAACCCTTTCATACTATAAGAAAAACTAAACAGAGTATACAGGCTTATATTTGATAATAAAGCCTTGTATTACATCCATGTTGATATTTTTTGTTATTTTTGTTCTAGTTTTTAAACAAGCACTTCTGAAAACAAGTTTGAAGAGAACACATAATATAGTTTTACTTTCTTCTCAGCATGACATTTAATGATTCTTGCACATAGAGAGAGGACCAAGTTCAGCAGGTATCATATGCTGTGGAGCCCTATATTAAGGGTATTATAGTGTGTAAACACACAGTGTCACTGATTGGGCCAAAGTAAAAATGTCAGCAGAGAAACAGAGTTTCTCCCATTCTCCATTTTTATAATTTTATTAGGTATAAAATCAAATGGTCTTTTTTCCTAGTAAGATCAAACTTTGACTGTTTCCACTAATTTATTGGGCACTTACCAACAACTGCTGGGCTTCAGGAGATTAAATCCCTTTCAAACCTTTTTCAGTATACTTCAAATAAATACGCACCAATATTATGTGTACTAATAAAAAATAAGAAGAACATTAGTTCTCAGTCTGAAAGGCTGTGTTTTATTCTCCAATAACAGAGGCACGTAAAAATACATAAAATTTAAAAAAAATCCCAAGAGACATCTCTGATATTCAAACATTTATTTTCCAGAATCATAATATATAAATAAAGAATTTATAATAAAGTTATTTGAATTAAAGCAAGACAAGCATCTAAAAATTACTAATAAATCTTCTGTTGGTGCTTACATCTTTGTTTACTGCAATACAGTTTATACCTGAAAAGTGTATTATACTCTGTTATAATAGCTTGTACTTGTAGTGTGAGCTGTGATCAGCGCCTTTGAAATATTCCTTCGAAGAAATGTTTCAAATGTCTGACATGAAAAGCGAAACCATCTGCTTCTTTGTTTCTGAAAGCACGTGAAATTATCCGTGTGGGTCATTTTTACGAAACACGGCAGCTATGTAAAAAGGCACTGTTGCATTGAGGAATGAAAAGCAAGCACAAGAAAAGAAAAACATCATTAATTCACTGCTATTACAGTACATGTTAAATTGCTATATATGACTCTGAAGTGCAGGCAACAATTTTCTAGGTCCATGTTGAGTGAACCAAACAGCTCAGCAAGGTGGGAAGAAAATGTATGATTCTTCTTTAAAGAAGCCAAAAATAATAAAGTAATATATCGTTTACTACACCATGTTAAAATTCCCTCTGAGGTCTAAGCACCTCTAAACACAAAGCTCCTGTTTATTCCTGAAATGCAGAATCTGGGTCATTTCTCACCATCGATGATGACTTAGACCTCACAGGGCTATCAGTCTGCTTTCCTTTTCATCTTTATCATTCCTGAAACGAACCAACCACTAACAAGAATAAAAGCAACAATAAATTCATGCTACAAGTCTGATATAGCTCCACTGTTTCACAGTTCATTCATTGCCACGAGTATGTATTCATCCGCAGCTGAAAATAGACCCAAACAAATACGGTACTTACTCCCGCTAAAAAACAAACAAACAAACATTTCATTAAAAAGAGAAAAAAAAGTCAGCAGTGATTCGGCGCTTTCTACGAACAAAACCGGACTTGTAAAGTATAGTTGTGGTTTATTTTAAAAGATATAAATTTTGAGTTTCGCTCAGACCGCTCCTGGTAATTAGCTTTTAAACAAGCTGAACATAATCGGTATGGCTGTTCTCCAGGTTGGCAAAGCCGGCATGTGATGCTGCAGTAAGTAATCAGTTGTTATCAAACACGAGACTGAGTACGGGATGCACTGAACTTAAATTTAATAAGGCAGAGGCTTTAATATTGGGAACTGTGTGTTTATCAGTGTTTTTGTGCTGTACAGACATAAATCAGGTGAGCACTGACCAACAGGTGCGGCTTCTCAGGAGTTATTTTGGCGCATAGCCAACACCAACAAAGGTCTAACCTTAAAATGATTTAGATGAATGAAAGGCTGGAGTTACAGCAGGACACATGAACACCATGTCAGGCACTGCACATCATGTAAACTGAATAACTGCACATAAATTTCAAAAATTCTTAAACTTCACATGCTGTGGAAATATCCTGACTTCCTGCCTTTCCTGTGATACTTTCCAGTGAATAAGTGAAGGAGAATAGATGGAGTTTTTCAATACAGCTGAAATATAGCTAAAGTGGCAACTGATATAACAGTTGCGTGCTCAAACCAATAACGCATTAAACTGAGGTGTTGTTTAAATTTTCATCCATTCATTTATTTTCTTAATCACCTATCAAAGTACACCTTCTACAGGTCACCACAAACTCACATTCAGAGCTACAGCCTTTTTTTATTTAGCACCAGTCATGTTTAAAAGTATTCACACCCCTGAAATTATCTGCCTTAAACC